ACTTTTTGTTATATAAAAAAATATTTTTCATATTAACATTCAAGAGAAATAAAAATATTCTGTATTAAATTATTTATATTCATTTAATGGATTCCTTTATTATTATTATTATTATTACTAAAGATTATGAACTATACTAAGAGTACATATAATTTTACTACTAAATCATATGATTGATATATGAATTCCTTTATTTATTAAGGGTATAAAAACTCATTTTGCTAGTATTTTTTTTATTTTTTTTATAAATCAACCCAAAAATTTAAAGACAATCTTTCGGTACAATCTTATATGTTATTTAAATGATTAACTCTTTTTATTTATTTGAAATATATGATATTAAATATATTCACTCATTTAATAATAAATAAAAATTGTATAAAAAAATTATACAAAAAATTATATAAAAAGATTATCTCTATATCATTGCCTTTACTCCCTTTATTTTTGTTTTTATTATATTACCTTTAAGAAAGAGATAAAGATAAACTTATATTTTGATAGAATAAATAATTAAGTGATCAAATAACAAATTGTTAAAGTAGTAAAAAAATAATATTATTCGTCTTTCTTAACATATGAAAAAATAATGAGGAATTCATTTATACACTAATTTTATACATCAGAGTTATATAAAATTTTAACCATTTATATTTCCGTTTTCAATTATTGGATTTATCATAATTTTTTAAATAAAAATAATAATTATTTTTAATAAATATAAATAAATATCAACTATTAAAAATAAAAAAATAAAAAATTAAGATTTTACATAACATAAATAACATACTACTTTTTATCTTTATCAGTATTTTTTTTAAATAATATAAGTAAAAATATAAATTTAAAGGTAAAATAAAAAATATTTAATTCTGGACTGATGGAGCATCTAATACTAGCAATTTACATCCAGCACTTTGGGCCTACTAGCCCCTCCTTACAGAACATGCTTAGAACTACCAAAATCTAGTTCTAATCTCAGGTTCCTTTCTCCTTTCTTCGAAAGAATTTCTCATTGTTCAAAAAATAAAAAATACTAGCAATTTACGTAATATTTTGGGAATATCCATGTTGTTTGTGTTGACACCCGCTTCTTCAGAATTGAAAACTTCTTCCCTACCGTTTGATCCCACAATCTGCACTTGTCTCCGGGCGGACGAGTCAAAGAGCCGGAATGGCCAAAAAGTCTTAGCCGCCGGCCGGCGTCACTAAAAAATCGAAAGTCAAAAAAGTTATTGCTTAACCGTGACTTTAGGTGTAATACCCCAAAATTTCTAGAGCATTGAAGTGAGTTAGGGATCTAATTGTGAAGAAATATTATTAATGAACTTAATGGTGAATATTCTGAAAGCCGAGGGACTTAAAAAGGGAAAAAAGTAAAAGGTTAGATTTTTCCCTTCTTTTCTTGTCCAAGAACCTGATTTAGAACCCAGAAATCTCCCCCCCTGCAGGAAGCTTCCGGATCTGCTCTGCTATTCCGCCCTTGTCCGCCGGCTGCTCTTGTTGTGGGGGCCGAATTTCTCTGATTTTGGGTAAGAAACAGCCATGAATCTCCCTTCTCTAGCTTGAATTAACTTGGGTCTACCTTAATTGCTCTTGGGTTCCTTTAATTTTGGGTAAAAACCCGTGAGTTCCCTGCAGGATTTCTTTTTCCATGCCGCAGGCTCTTCCCCCAAACTGCAGTCCGGTTGTGCTAGGAAAATTATGGTATGTGACAGCCATTTAAGCTTAAATTACCCATTTAGTTTGCTGCCTTGTTATGTCCGAATTTGGCTGAAAATTGGGGATGAATTCCTGTAGCTTTAAGATAAGTTTAAGCATTGATTCAAGTGAAATTTATATGATTGAGTGTTAATTGTCTGCTGTGTGATTTTTGGAGAGAATCCCGTGAAATTAGCTAGTGGTTTGGTCATTTTTGGAAGTTGGAGTTACTGTTCACGTCGTGGATACTGTTCACGGGGTACTGTTTACAGATTACTGTTCACACACCGAGGGTTGACAATTAACGGGGATTTAAATGATTAGTTTGTGATATAAGAACGAATTTGGAGATATATAATGTGAAGATTTATAGAAATAGCATTGTGATTAAAGAGTGATCCTAATGATGATTTTAGTTTGAAATTGTGATAGTACGGTATTAATTCTTGAGTGTTTTGATTAGGTTCTGATCGTTCTGTCACTTAGCACTGAGATTGAGTGCTCGGTCTTATGCGAGTGAGGTAAGTAAATTTATAGTAATGACCGTACAGTTTTTAAAAGCATGTTTTGATTTGTTTTTGAAGTGGTGGCAAGACTAAACCCGTTTTATACGAGCATGACTGATTTAAAGTGAAATGTTTATACTTTTCATTAAATTGAGCATGCCTACTTGAAAGTTTAATTGATTGTCCTGATGATTTGAAAGTGATTAATGAATTATGATTGTTTTGTTAACTTCAGCCTGTTTTGTCTCCGACGTGGTCATGTTATTAGTGACCCTGCTAGTGAGGGAGGTTATAAACGCTAGTACATGTCGACATATTATTGATAGAACCAGTTCGTTTGAGTGACCCTGCTAGTGGGGGTTATACACCAGCAAATAGTGACCCTGCTTGTGGGGGTTATACACCAGCAAATAGTGACCCTGCTAGTGGGGATTGTACACTAGTAAATCGTGTGCCCGCTAGTGGGAGGTTTATAAACGCTGGCCATGACCTATAGAGGAGACGTCTATTTCGTTCCCATATCGTATTCATTTTTCGTGATTACACTTGTTGGCATGCTATAAGTTTAATAAGGGGCATTCCATATTTTACTTACTGAATTACCTCACCTCATTTTTCTCGTCCACCATTTCAGGTAGTGTGACTTGAGACTCGAAAATCAAGGGGAGTGACATGATAGAAGGCTAGCCACTTAAGATTTGACATAGATTTTAGATACATGTATACCACGCTCTTGTAAGTTAGATTTTAATTGAAAATTTTATGGTATCAAAACTGATTTTGTTGAATAAGTTCTGAGTCTTGTGCATTTGTGGAATCCTCTCACGAGTGCACGGCGTCTGCCATGTCTTCGGATTTGGGTTCTGGGACGTTCTCGGATTTGGGTTATGGGACGTGACATTAGGAACACAATAATTAAACGCACCATCAATTTTCCACATAATACACTGTACACTTGGCCGGTCTAAAATTTCAAGGTCTAAGTCTAAGTGCCCCATTATCGAGTAGTGCAAAATTTATGTTTTAAGATTTTTGTGCAGTGCTGTGAATATTGATCATAAAAATTAAAGTTTTTTGTTTTAAAATTTGAATTGTGTAAAAACGTAAAATATAAAAATAAGCTTTATTTTTAACATTAATATTATGTAAATAATTTTAATTAAGTAGTTAATAAATTTAAAATTAATTTTTAACTTATCCGTTTAGATCACAAATTAAAAGAATATTAGTTATATTTTTAATAATAAATTTTTATAAAAAATGAAAATAAGCTTTATTTTTAACATTAATATTATGTAAATAATTTTAATTAGGTAGTTAATAAATTTAAAATTATTTTTTTATAAATTAATTATAAAATAGTAAAATTAATACACCCTTAAAAAAACTCTTCTTTTAATGTTTAATTACAATTTTTCATATTGAAAATAAATATAATGTTTTGATTTTAGGGTGAACACGATTGAATTAAAAGCGCAATTTGTTCATGTCACGTGGACAAGAGTTACAACTCACTGATCGCAATTCACAAAAGCACAGCAAAAAAGATAGGCAGGCTATACCACCGCCCATTTGGGCAAATATTTAGATGTCACAAATTCACAAAAACACATATAAAAAATCCAACAAGAACAACAGATCAATTGTCTTAAGCACCGGAATGTAATAATCAGATCCAGGATCTTGCCACCAGACTAGCATCCTGATTTGAGATCTTCCCTGTTCTCACTAATATGCTTCTAGTTCCTGTTTTTCCTTTAAAGTTGACATTTCTTGCTTGATTGGAGATTTGGATAGCACCTCCATTGAATTTAGACCCTCCTCTATAAATATAAGGATAGGGATGTCAACGGGGCCCCGCGGGGCCGGGGACCCCTTCCCCATCCCCGTCTCCGCGAATCACGGGGACGGGGATCCCCGCGGGGATTTTTGACGGGGGGCAGATTTTGCCCCCCGTCCCCGTTTCCCACGGGGAACGGGGATCCCCACGGGGATCCCCATTCCCCACCAATTAACATCAAAGCAACAGTAGCAAAGCAACAGTAGCAAAGCATATGGCTTATGCTGTTCGGCGGCGGCAGCAGCAACAGACTTCAATGGCGGTAGCAGCAGCAGCAGCAGGAGGCTCCAGTGGCGGTAGCAGCAGCAGGAGGCTCCAGTGGCGGTAGCAGCAGCAGTAGGCTCCGGTGGCGGTAGCAGTAGCAGCAGCAGGCTCCGATGGCAGTAGCAACAGCAGCAGCAGCAACAGGCTCCGGTGGCGGTAGCGGTAGCAGCAGCAGCAGCAGTAGGCT